AGTAATTAATTAATTGTTGTCTGAGAGTAGAGTTTAGATTACACTCTCGCGCAAGGGTTTGTGTGTTATACTTGTTTTGTGAGTGGCATTATTTTCTTAACCACTTGTTTCTACCTTAGCTAGAAGATATCCCGTGAGCAAATAGTGCATCAAATCAGCATGACGAAGCTCATGTAAGTTTTAAGACCCCATACTTAAAACTATTTCAGAAAGCTATACCATAAGAAGTTTCTACGCCATCACACCATCGACAATATCGTGTTACCTGTTTCCTTCTAAAATTTATTTTTCAGCATTTTCATGCTTGTTATTTAACATAAGAAACACGAGATTTTTATTAGTTTCATAGTTTTTATATGCATAAGGTCTGTCTTAAATACTATGACTACTTACCGGTACATAATTTCGTTTCATTTTTCACATTAACAGCATGGAAAGGATCCTGGAAAGGTACGAAAGATACTCACATGCAGAGAGGCAGCTTCTTGCAAATGATAATGAATCCACTGTATATGCCGCCACACCCTCCTCTATCATTTATTGAAAGGCAAACTAAATTTTTGAAGATTTTTGTTTTTTATCTTCTTTTCATGTTTGAAGCTATACAAAGCTAACTTGAGTTCTGACCAAACGTGGCTTCCGGCCTGGCTTTCCGTTTTATCTGAAACCCAAAAGGAACACCATAAATTTGGCATCCATTACTTAGTTGGTGTTAGTTTCCTAGCTTAGGGGCTGTATGATAATCATTTCGTTTGTACCTTTTAATTTTCACCTTTTCTTGATATGGAGAGAAGGCATGTAATGGAGGAATGTGTAATGAAAGGATGGTGGAGGGAAGGAGAAGGGAGAAATGAAGGAGAATGCATCCCTCTTTTCTCCCTTGTATTCCAACCCCCCCCCCCCTCTCTATTCCTAACAAAAGTGAAAATTAAAACTAAAAAGAAATAGTCATCAAACGTGTCCTTAGCTAGCGTTACTTTTCTCGTGTTCTTTTTATTTGAAACAGATCTTTCATGCCATATATTTATTCTTGTTTTATAGGGTAGCTGGACTCTGGAACATGCAAAGCTCAAGGCTAGGGTGGAGGTTTTACAAAGAAATCAAAGGTATACCAAGTTCAAGTATAAGTATCCCTCTTTAATTCCGTTATAATTGATGATATAAAGGTCAAGTAATCAGTACTAAGCATACCACTTTTCACTGATCTTGGTTGGTTTGCAGTCATTATATGGGAGAAGATCTCCAAATCTTAAGTCTCCAAGAGCTACAGAATTTAGAGCAACAGCTTGATTCTGCACTAAAGCGCATAAGGTCAAGAAAGGTAAAACCAATGATGAACAAATTAACCCTCAGAAAGTTTTTTGTTACATAGACTAAATTAATATTGGGTTTTTACTTTTATTTTAAAGCTTTTTCATTTTTATTTTTCCGAAAAAGGTTAACTGATTGGAATATGATGAATTTTTCATCATATACAGAACCAAGTCATGTACGAATCAATTTCTGAGCTCCAGAAGAAGGTAAGCCTGAGCTAGAAGGCATTTTATATGGAGAATGAGAACAACACATCCTTTCCCTAGTGCTACACATTCTTGTTTGCTGTTTTCGTTTGATTTATTCGATGACCAAAGCCAAACTGGACTGTGTAAGAGGAGAAGAATAGTGTGCGATTTTCATTTCATTCTATATATGCATGCAAATACATGCATATATAAATCCATACTTCTGTAACAGTAATGGTAGAACATTGTCTGTGTGTGTCTTGCATGACAGGATAAGGCATTGCAGGAGCAAAACAACTTGCTGGCAAAGAATGTACGTAACAATATATATGTAGTGTGTTTAAAAATGTTTAATTTCGTAATTCTCATCGTACTGGCATTGTGTATATTGTGTATTTAATTGAACAAGGTAAAGGAGAAGGAGAAAGCAGTAGCTCCACAGGCACAATTGGATCATGCGCAGAAGCAGAGCTTGGACTTCTCCTCCACCCTTCTACCACAGGCATTGCAGTCCCTGAATTTCAGGTTAGCCTTTCCCTGTGTTTAGTTTGGCTTATTTTTATTTTTAAATAGAGATGGAGAGAAAATATATGGGAAAAACGAGGAATGAAGGATGATTGGAAGGTGGTGAGAGGGAGGAGAAAAAAAATGTAGATTATATGAAAACAAACATGTCAAGATCCGTCTGATAACCATTTGGTTTTAGCTTTTAGTTTTGTATTTGTGAGATATGTGGAAAGTATGGTTGAAAGGAGGGGTGAGAGGAAGAGAGAATGTATAAGGAATGGTACACAAAATGAACACTAAAAATAAAAAAATTATTTCAAGTTGTTTTCACTTCAAGATGTTTCATTCAATCTTCTTTATTCTGTTTCTCTCGCTGGCTCTCAATCACCACCCTTCTTCTTCCGTCATTTCTTCTTTATGCTTTCTCCGTATCTCAAACATAAAAACTTAAAACTTAAAACCAAAAACCAAATGGTTATCAAATAGATTCTCAAATTTTTATTTTTACTTTCCACTTTGTATGTCATTCCTTTCACATTTCTTCCATGGTCCAACCTCCAGTACTCTTGATTTTCATTGTTTCTTTCTCCCACTACTTTTTCTCCATCTGTAACACTTGTGTTATGGAAATCAAAATTAAAGACAAAATAGTTATAATACAAGTTAAATTAATTGGTTTATGAATGTGTGTGTGTATATATATATACATATTATATTGTTGCAGCAGGTCCAATTACCACCAGGCCATTAGATCAAGTGATGGAATATCAGGAGTTAATCAGCAGGATGGAGATGAAACCGCGACTCCACATAGACCTCACACGCTGCTGCCCCCTTGGATGCTCCGCCACCTTAATGAATAGAAGCATTTCATCACCATGAAATAATATATCCAAATAATATTAAAACACCAATTAATCAAGCAAACATATTACACTTATGTATGTATACCTAGAAATTAATTGGTATGTGCTTGATCAAAACCCTAGCCTCGATCTAGCTCCAAATGTGTATCGTATGTTGGAATTCAATTACTGGAATTAATAGCCCAAAAACTGTGTTAGGGGTTGTCTACCTCTCGTAATTAAGGTACTATTTTTCAAATTAACTTGGGAAACGTACATGTACACTTTGTCCAATATGGATTTGATATGCTGCTTAATTTTTCTGTTCCTTCTGGTTTCTGGCAGCACGTGTGATTGAGGTGAATCTTGCGATATCAATGTTTATAGTATTAACGTCATAGATGTGGGTTATATCAGTTAGCTATATATATTACCGTATTTTAAGGAGTTAAGTATAGATCTAGTAACTCTATAAACTCTATGCATAGATTACATCAATCTTGAAGTTCTAGTGCCACAAGTTGAACCTGTGACTGTAGATTAGCTATGAGCTAGCTAGCTAAATGTTTGGGGGTGTACTATCCACACTTCATTTTACTTCTCACACACCCATTGATAATTTCTGTCCGTTGATCTTCTTCAATTCATCTAATCCGACGGCTGAAAATTAAAAAGGTGTGTGAGAAGTAAAATAGGATGTGTGGATATCACACCCAGTATTTAAAAGTACTATGGACCCCCACATTTTAAAAACAAAATGTAAATATATAACATTGTAGGGTAGTTGGTCCTCATCATTTTAGTGGTACAATAAATGCAATGTGTGCGTTCCTACGTTATCAGTTCTCAATAGAACAGAGCAACTTTCATAGTACACATACACTATTACCGTGATCTTCTATGTGGTAAAATCCTTCACTCTAGAGTACAGAGAGGAAGTGTACATACATACATACATACACACACACACACACACACACACATATATATATATATATATATATATATATATATCAGGAACCCAAGTGCAACTGTAGAACTATATGTTTCAACCCTCATGACTTTCATTTATCTTTTTTCTTTCTCTTTCTTATTTAGTAAAGGAGAGTGAAATCGGACTCCAGACTAATATGTACGTGAGTAGAGAGGGTAGAATTCCTTTACCATATACACATGGAAACTTTGCCCAAAGACTAAACTAGTAGTGTGAACCAGGGAGTGGCTGATCATAGACAGCAGAGATAATATGTACTTCCTAATACAAACAAAATCATCATGCAGTCTGCCACTTCTGCCTTGCACTTAGCCATATATAGCAGTATCATTATCTTCAAGAATATATTACAAATTAATCATGCGTTTGATCTTTATCTCCTAATGATCTGTGTTTTCTGTTGGCTAGTGATGTATTGCTAACGTGGAGCCAAAAATAATCAAGAAAAATATGGAGGCGACATGTGGATTTTTGGGTAAAAACGACAAGATTATCCTCAGGCATATTGGAACTCTTACGTACGAGCAGTAAACAATCATTACTCAATCAAGGTCAAAAGTGATCAAAATAAGTATTTATTCAAAACCAGTTGATGGTTTGGGAGCCAGACTTGTGGCTAGGAGGAAGCTGAAATGTCTCTATGAGTTTTTCCGGCCCCCATAAGGGATGGATAATTGTGGCTTGCCACCAGTTGTCCTCCCTACAAAAAAAAAAAAAAACAAAAGAAAAAAAAAACTCAATTGAAGTAGAAACTATTTGTCTATTCAATTACCATGCTCTAATAATCTCTAATTTATTTATTTTTCTTCTAAATTATTGAACTTGAAGTGTTTCGTATAGAAAGCTTACTTAATTATATACGAAAAGCTATTGTAATTTAATTTGATTTATTTTAGTTTGATAACGCAAAAGGTGTGAGAGAGTTTATGTGGTTGCTATTGTTCAATTTTTCTAATGTAACATTAAACTTCATAATTAATGTTACACCTTTTGTCTACAAAATGTTCGGATTGTATGTTTTTATTTCTTTCTAGTTGAAAATTTGTGTTTTGCTATCGCGATTGGCCTAGGAGTGTGCCCTATTAATCTGAGAGATTATGACATGCTTAATTTGATTTTAATATTGGGAAATGATGCATCTCTAAACTCCTTGACTTGTTCTCTCGTCATACAAGCGTACTCTACTAAATTCGGATTTATATATCTATGCATGTTATACGTATCTAGTAATTTAGGTGATGGGCACCCTGTATGAAAAAGTATAAATATCGTACCATTCCTTTTTTTTTGGGAAATTAGTCAAACTCCCAGCTACTGGTTTTCTTCTAGCGTGGGATGTATGGGACCAAATAACTATATATGAAAGGAAGCCTACAAATTAATTCATGGAAAGCACGTTCAAGAAGTGGCCTACCACATAGAAAAACAAAACAAATAAACAAAACAAGGAACAAATGCCCTTGAAAAAACAAAAGGTTAATTCCAAGTCTAGGCCTAATTATTTGTATATAATATACATGCATAGCCAGCCATTTTTCCCACCGGCAAAACCAATATTATCAACAAATGAGCAGGAAATATGCAAGACTGTGTGGTGCCCGGCCGACTGTTTGTCTTCCAATCCTTTCACTGTCTCTCAGGTCGAAACGCAAGTCTAGACGGCGTTCCGGTTCCGTCGAAGCTACTACTGATTATAACAGCACAAAGTTCTTGAAGAATATTAGCAGCAGGGGGGATGACGACTTGGGTAGTACTGCAGAAGATGTGAAAAATGGGAACAAGATAATGGTTGTTGTGGATTCAAGCCTTGAAGCTAAGGGAGCTCTCGAATGGGCACTATCCCACACTGTGCAACCCCAGGACACCATTGTTCTTCTTCATGTAGCTAAACCCTCCAAACAAGAAGGTCAGAAAACTGAGATTAATCTTCTTCTTTTTTTTTTTTTTTAAATTATCTTGTTGCATTGATGTTAATTAACATATAAGCCTAATGTGCTAAACTAATATTGATTAATTTGCAGGTGCAGACTCAAATGGGAGCACTAATTTAAGGGACTTTGAACTGCTTCGCTCGATGAAAAATGTGTGCCAAAGGAAAAGGCCTGGGGTAAGTTTAATTCACAAATTCTGTGTTTTCCCCAATTTTGTTTTTGTATAATAGCAAAACTAGTAATGAATATATTTAGTGATAAAATGTGAGTATCTGACCCTGATCAGTTAGCAGTGAACGAGAAACTCTATGATTATTTGAACATTTATACAGGACTTTTATTTTCCCGACGTGGTTGGATTTTACTCTTATGTGCATAACCATTTAATCTAATAGCACCCAATCTCCATTATAAAGGTCCTGAGTTCAAATTTCGCAGTGGAAAATAGTATACTTTTTAACTCATATCAATAATTTTGTCAATGTAGATCAATCATAGAGATGCCAACTAAACACACACACACACACAAATAAAGATCTTTATTAAACAAATGTGAAAGGGTGTACCATTATCCTTGATATTGCGTTTGTATTGACTATTGAAAATTGAAATAGGTGGAAGTGGAGGTAGCATTGCTTGAAGGGAAAGAAAAGGGCCCAATAATAGTGGAAGAAGCAAAGAGACAAAGGGTGTCCCTACTTGTTCTTGGCCAAAAAAGAAAGAGGTCGACGTGGTGGCAGCTAATCAAGAGGTGGACAAGGAGCAGATCATCAGGGGAGGTTTTTGTGGAATACTGCATTCAAAATTCTGCATGCATGACGATTGCTGTGAGGAGAAAGAGCAAGAAATTGGGAGGTTACTTGATCACCACTAAGCTTCACAAGAATTTCTGGCTTCTAGCTTGATTGAAATGTGTGCAAATCACAGTTTGACGTGTGCACAAATTTTTTTTATACTGAAATTCAAGAAAATATTTTTGCATACATGTCAAATTCTGATTGGAAATGATTTCCACACACTTATTTGCTTGTCCATGCACACTCTTGTTTTTTTCTCGCATTTTGATGTAATAAGTCAAACGAGAATTGAGAGACAAGAATAGACAAGGATGTGCAACAAGAAAATTTTCCAATCCTTGTTCATTTTCAATGAGAAATGACTATCACAAGTAAAAAGGGAAGTATTTTCAAAGTAGCAATGTAGAATAATGGGTTTTAATATTGTGGTGCGTATAGGGTGCGGTGCCGACAAAAATGTAGCACTCCTCTGCTGTCTCCCCATACAAGACATGGTTGTGGTGACTACAAAAATGCTGGTAAAAATTGGATGTCAAGGAAACGTGTTTGAATTTAAGTTGCCCTGGTTGGAGATTTTAAAAATCATATAAAAAGATCAAAGACAAGAAGTTACAGGGATTTGGTTGACTTTGCATTGTAGTTGTGGACTCAACCCTAAGTGATTGACACCAACTGCATAGCAGCTTCTAAGTTCCATCTCTGAAAGTTCTTGTACCACACATTGTAATTTTAAGTCAATCTCCTTCCTTCTTGTAATTCCCAATCAAATCATCAAAACCAAATCTCATGGCAATTTTGAGATGAAGAGTTTTTCTTCACAAGCAAGTTACTTCAAATACGAAGGAGGAGCGAAATCATATTCTCTGTACATTTTGAATAGCAGAAAAAGAACAATGCTTTGAGAGTTGAACGAAGACGTAAATTGGAAGACAAGAACAGCTTCTCTGTATTCCATCTTCACTCAGCATTACGTCTCGGCAGTGAAAATCTAATTCCCATCTGAAAAAGAAACTCCATGGAAATTGAAACAGAAAGATTTCCATGGAAAATGTGGTATGTGTAGGTTAAAATCGCAATCCGACCACTGGCAATGCAAATAATTGAGTATAATTATTCAACTTCACCTTAGGATTTTCCTTAGGCATTCCAAGAAGCAGCAGTGTCAATTTCATCAACAACCTTCCTCACCTTGTCATGCCCTTTTCCTCTTTGCCTCTTTGCCTCTTTCTTCTTAAATCTGTTTAAAATCTGTGTAAGAATGAATCAAATGAAGAGGTAACACTAGTATACAAATCCAATGTCGTGACATTTACTTGAAAACTGTTTGTCGTGGATCAAACGAATGCCCATGTCTATGCACCATGTCTGGCCTTTCACTTCAATACTCTTTGATGTAGCTCAAAAGAATAACCTGGTCAATCTATGTGCCACGTCCCGGCCCTTACTTCAGAACTCTTTGATGTGGCTCAATAAAATAACCCTTTCTATACGCAACTCTCTGGAGCTGGTCATATCCTGCAAGTACCCCAGCTCCGGCAACTCCTAGAAGCATATTTGCAGTTACTCCTCGGAACAGTGCTTTGAAACCCTCAAGGTAAACAATCTCCCGAGATGCATGCAAGGCATTGCGATACTTTGACGGTTGTCCTGACGTTAGCATCATTCTCCGCCGAATGGTATCAAATGGATAGGCGCAGACCCCAGAGACTGTTGTAACACTCCAGCCATGCAAAAAACTAGCCAAAAAATTCCCCTGTAAAAATTCAAACGATATAAACTTTGAGGCACGGGATCATTTGAGGGTTTTCAAGGAAAGCACATTGGTAGTAAGAACCAATGATTTAGACAAATGCGAATACATTCCTTTTTGAATTGTTCAGGTAATATTGAGATGCTCACCTCCAAAGGACCAACCAAAACAATAGGCTTCATGGTGTCATAAATCCCAAAGTACATTCCTCGATACATCGTAATTCCAATAATTGAAGCCCCAAAACCTCGATAGATCCCCACTATTCCATCACTTGATAAGGTTTTACAGTAAACATCTAGAATCCCTCTGAACTGGTGTTGACCATTAACTGCAGACCCCCTCCCATCGGTGCCTAGCCGTGTACGGGCATAGTCTAGATGATATAGAAATAATGAAGTAGTTGCTCCAGCAGCACTTCCTGAAGCCACATTTCCAGCAAACCACATTATGTACCCATCTTTCTCTTTTGAGTAGCCAAAGATGCTTTTGAAGTAACCTCTAAATGCAAAGTTGAAAGCCTACAAGCATTCCAAATTATGTTCGGCGAGGACTGTCAAAACATGACATTCATTTGATTTAACACAGCATACCAAAGTTTCCAGGTCTCAAGAAAAATGTAGAATGTGCAAACTCTCCACAATCTTATGCAATGCCGACTGATGTTATTAAGAAAATAAGTGGTTTTCTATAACAAAGATGGTAAGGTATTCGTAGACTTTTTATCCAAAACACAAATAGCTAAGACAAATGCGTAAAGCATCCTATTTTTTCATACAACACACGAATACAATCCGAAATTCAGCAAACATTTCTGATAGTCACATCTCCTAAACTGAACTGATTTCTGAATAAACCATTTCGGTGCAAGAATCAGCAATTCGACCAAGGGAAAAACGTCTTGAAAAGTTAAGACACATTCTAAAATTTGCTTGCTTTAATAGAAAACTAAACAAATACAAACTAATACGCAAGCACTCAAAAGTTTCACTACACAAATACAAAAACACTATTTAATCACTAAAAATTGATCATTCAATAATTTCAATGTGGGAGAGTGACGCAGATGAAGTACCTGAGTAGGAAAATATCGAATGACAATGGCCTGGTTGCCTCGCCAAAACGACAACACACCTTCCTCTCTGAACACCCTTGTAAAGCAATCACCAACACCCTTATAAGGTCTCTTAATCTGCCCTCTTTTTATCATCTCTCCCTGATTCTGCAGCAGAAGCTTCACTCTCTCAATGGGTGCTGCTGCACTCTTTGACACCAACGCTGCCATTCCCCCCATCACAAAATCCACAGAAAACTTCTCAGACTTTGTCGCCATTGCCAAACTCTCTCTCTCTCTCTCTCTCTCAGACTTTGTCGCCATTGCCAAACTCTCTCTCTCTCTCTCTCTCTCTCTAGACCTGAACAGTTCAAGCAAAAGCAGAAATGAACCAACAACCCAATCAAATAGGTGATAAAAATAAATCTTTTAGAAATCAAACCACCACCCCATGAAGAAAAAAAAAACATATAATGTCATATAAATTTCCAAAGACCAACACTTTCCAATCAATTCTCCCCTTCAGTCAAGAAAAAGCATGAAACTTTCTATCCCAAAAGCCGCTGTGAAGAATATAAACCAAAAATTAGAGATGGGTTTTTACATACCTTGAAAATTTATAGAGAGAAATTGAAGGGAGAGAGATGGTGGGGACGGATAATGGGCTGCTCTCCCACCACCCGAATTACAAAAGCGGCTTTTTTCAGAAGTAAAGTTTGGAAATTTGGTGAAACCGCAATTCGCCGTCGATGACTCGGTTAACCGGCTTCTGGCTTGGGAGACGACTTTTGGGTCGTTGGATTCTGTAGGAAAAAAACAAAACTGAAAGACCAAAAAAATAGAAATAAGTTGCGTTTGGTAGCCCTGTTACTTCTTTTAGATTCAAACATAAGAAAAAGGGCAGTTTAGTCAAACACGGCCTTAACTAAAATTGGCAACATCTGGAAGTGGTACAACCAAGATCGAGCTATCAAGATTAGAATTCATAAATGAACTACTTTTTAGTTTAAATTGCCTTTTGAGTTGTTATAACTCATTACTTTAGTCTATATTAATATATTCGTTAAGTGAAATGATTGATTTGTCGAAAAATACTATTAAAAAATGATCACGTAATCGTTCACTTAACAATTTAACCGCGTCTTCTGTTCTTCACAGGCCAACTCTCTACTATGGCGAAACCCTCAACCGCACTGGCACTCCTTGTGCAGCTCAGGACATGACATGTTACGACTGTGACTAGTGCAGGCCGGACACTAAGAACACACTTCTTTCTCCCCCTGTTCGTCTCCGGCCAACTCGCTTCAGTGGCGGAACCCGCAACCGTACTTACACTCCTTGTGCAGCTCAGGACATTACGTGCTACGACTGCGAGTAGTGGAGGCCGGACACTAATAAGAACACACTTCTTCGCGCGCTCTGCCTGTTCGTCTCCGGCCAACCTGCTTCAGTGGCGTAACCCGTACCGTAACCCCGGATCCTCATCGTGTGGAACCTGCATTGTTGAAGGGGATAAACAAACTGTAGCTCAGATTTTTTATTTTTTATAGTGCATGCAACGAAGAGAAGCACATCGGATCTCCTAAAAGTGACGAGGTAGTCCAAATCTAGTGACTTTGCTCGAATCTGCTATCTAGTTTGTTAATAGTTAAATTTAAGGTTTTGCTTGTCGGTAGAGACTCCATAGCTAACACTTGAGGTGCAATAACTGGTTGTTAGAGACACCCTAGCTACCCGACAATGCCAATTGTGTATGCAAACGCTACTTCAGATTTTGGGTAGATGAAAACCATAATTGTAGAAGGGGAGCAGGAAATCGAACCCAAAATTCGAGTACATGAGTAAATACTCGTCATCATTATATTGGAACACTTTTTGAAAGTTCGAGATACATTGATCAATCACTTTTATGCATAAATTTTTCAAGTGCTTTTATAACCCATAAGCACCCACTACAAGAAAAGTGAGCAACAACTATCATAATTAATAAATATTTTGGTAGTTGTTGCTGGGGTAACAGTAATGTTGCCAATGAGAAAATTGTAACAAAAAATTCAAATATATATTCAACTATCCTATTTGCTCCTTTGTAATCAAATCACAAGTTTGAGTTGTGGAAACATCTTTTTAAAACAAGGGTAAAGTTTTGTACGATTAGGACGGATGGAAATAGGGACCAAAATGGTACCAGGACCACCCTAGTCCATAAAATATACATATGAAGGTCTTCCAAGGAGCTTCCTAATGTTGGTTCGAGTCTTTTTTTTTTTTTTTGCATACTAAATGTTTCATGTAATGCATACTAGGCATATCTCGACAGATGCATTGACAGCACTCACAAAATTCTCTCTCTATCACTCATTAGATTGTCTCGGCATATGCTAATATATGTTGACATGTGTGCAACAAGCTCACCAAATGTTCAATGAAATGTCTCAATGAATAAATTGATTTTTTTTTTTTTTTTTTTGCGCTCTTCATGCTCTGTTTGTATCTAAAAAATTTGTATTTAACATTGGGACCCACTAAGGTTGAAATCCTAGATCCGCTACTATGTACAGTAAACGTTCCCCTCCTGACCATCACAAGTAGTAGAAAACCTTGTTGGCTTGAGAGTGTATTAGTCACCATTGATGTGTACCTATTATCTACTTTTTGGCACAATTTTCTCATTTTCAACGTCATTATCACCTGGCAACAATTACCAAAATAATTACTAATTAGGATAGTTTTGCTACTTTTCTTATAGTGACTTCTAAATCAGTAAAATTGGATCTTAAATATTATGAAAGCATTAACCAGCCAAAAAGATTGTCTAAAAAGTGCTTAAAATCATTGCAAAAACACTTTTAAAGAAACCCGTAACATATTTGTATCAACCTATTAGTTTCTTAACAATGTGAACAATCAATGTGAATAAAAAGTTCGAACTCGTAACTTTTTTCTGTATTACAAGGACAAAGATCAATACCACCGTACTCTCACTTGGCCTATAAAAGGTCATTGCAAATTAAATATAAAAATATTACAATAAAACGTCATTAATTGCAAACCAATGTGAAAACTTCAAGCATTCGTTCGAATTCATCGAGAAGCGCAAAATTACACAGAGATTATATGAGAACAAATTTTCAAATCATATATTGAGACAGAGAGTATAATGCCTTTGAGTTGATTGTATCACTTAATCACTGTATAGATCTCAGAACACCAAATGAAGTTAACAAATTAAACCGCTATCAAATCATATATATTGTTCATTAATTCATAACCATTGGTAGATTTGCATAATTGCATGGCAAAATTTATGGAAATTAATATCAGCAAAAATGGTAGATTAATATGATAGCAACCTTCTTATTTGGGAATTTATAGGAAAAAATCACATGGTCTGATGCGGCGGACTTTGTGACTGTTTTATTTTCCCTCCCCAAAAACTTGACACAACATCTGCAATCTCTTGTCTGGTTAATATCCTCCGCATTTGCCGAAACCCCCACACACACAGTGCCGACGACAGATCATAAACTCGATCACTCTTTGCTCCCTCACCCAAGAGCTAAACACTCTGATTGTTCTTGCCCATCTCTTCAAATTTTCGATTGATTCGAAGCTGCCCGCCAAAGAGTGGGAGGAAAAAACTGATTCGAAGGTGTGATTTCTGCGTAAAGGTTGCGTTTTGATCCATTTTTTGGGTTGAAGACGGCATTTGGCGGATGCCCAAGTGAGCAAAAACCGAGCTGATATGCCTGGAGGGCGGTTTGCGGTGGTTCGTTGATCGAATCTGGGACATGTGTCGGTGCGGATTCGTGATTTGGTGGTGAATTGTGGAGGAAATTAGTCAAAGATGCGGAGGCGGGCGGCCGAGTATCGGCGCCCGGTTCGACGGAGGTTTTCGAATTGGATCTGGGCGCTTTTTGGGATCTTCTCCGTTGCAGGCCTGGTTTTGTTAGTTGTGAACCATAACCAGCATGAACATCGGGTCGAACAACCCCTGCTGGTATGATTGCTCAGCTCTCCCATTGCTGCTTCTGCGTGTGTGTCTTTGATCTTGATTAGATAAACTGCGTGTTTAAGTAACATTTTAATTTGGTGTTGGTGGATGGAAATTTGGTATGCTTGAACTCTGTTGTTTAAATCTATTTGAGGTTGTTCGATGGCGAAATTTCGGATGAAGTATCGAAATGCAAAAATTGGGTTTTTTTCTTGTTTGGTTAGACATTCTGTTGGGTTGGAGTGTTGATATATGCAGTCAGGGTGTATATAATCCTTTTGTGAGTGGATCTCTAGTTGCTGGCATTTAGGAAGGAACTCAACAGTCCTGTAGCGGTAGCAATTCCGGCTGAATCAATTGTCGCTTTGTTATGATATGATCTTTTGATTTCTGGCTGTTACTGTTAATATTATGTTTCTGATTTCAAGTCTGGATTATTTTTATAGTTAGCAGTTCCATTCTCAAGCTAGAGATTATATACGGATTGCAGACAACAAACGTCCATGCTAGGAGTTCAATAGAGTTTCCATTCTCACTAGTTCAATAGAGTTTCCGTTCTCACTAGTTCAATGTTGGGGTTAATTTACCGTTCCTGTTGTTGGGTGGTAGATTATCTAAGTGGTTGTGGTTTCTACGAGGAGTAAAACAGGCTGCCAGTTGCTTGGCGCCGATTGCTAGACGGAAGTTGTGTGCCGGGGCATGGATTGATAGACCCCCAACATCCCTTGTTCATATCTTACCACAGGATGGCCTTCCATGCCCCGAACAGTGTGATTTTGATCATTGGGGAATTTTTGTACTGGTTCTCCCTTCTCATTTTTCTGTTTTTTCCTTTTGCATCTCTTGACTGTTCCTCTATGATCAGTCCTTGCTTTCATTTTGGAGTTTGGCCTGTGTGCCTTTTCTGGTGGTTCGTTTGGGCTGAGGCCTTAATACATTACACAATTTAAATCTTACGATGGGGTGGATAAAGTAGATTGGTAAGCACACACTTTGTTCACCCAAACCCAGATGTATATTGTCGTTATTTGGCTTGGGATTATTTGATAAACATCTTTTTTTATCGTTTTTATTTTGTCAACTGAATTGTTATTTGTTTGTTTGTAGTTATCGTTGCTTTTGTAGGACCTTATGAATCTCATTGGAAAAGTCTTCCATGTGCTACTTCACTTAGAGATCGAACTGTTTCCCACATTTAAATTCCTGCCAAATTATATCCTTCGGAGGATAGAACTTCTAATTGACCATTTGACATTGGTTTAATCTATTTGTACAATTGTAACGTGCAACAGAGAGAGCACAATAAGAAGTGAATGTCACTGGATTTTCATGATTCCACAATACTGTCTTCTCAACAATCACACATGGTTGTGTGTCCTGTCCTAGGAGATCCTTTTGACTAGGCCATAGATGAACTTATTGGAATTGTGCAATGTGTTGCTCTTAAACACCTTAGGCGAATTGTTCTTGGACTTTTTTGTCCTGAAATCTATGTGTCGGTAATTTTTTCATGAGTTCTCGAATGATTAGTTTTGCTATGTGAAGTTTTTTATTTCCTCTCTAAACACATGATTTATCTAAGCCAAATTTGTGGAAATACAGCTATATGCATCGAAATGCGTTATCCTATTGTTATAAGTATACATGAAACTTTTGCCCCTCATTTATAAAGTTCTGCACTTCATAATTCATATACTTTCAGTTCCCCTTCTAATGAACGTATTGACTGTTTCCAATGCATTTGGAATTTTCGTAAGACAATGGTCTGATATTCCTAATTCATTATGTGTTTGTGTTCTAATTAATGCAAGTCCTAAATCATAAAATACTGTACAATTAGCTCTCAATTACTCTGATGTGTTTGAGCCTGTGGTGAGGCATGAGAATCAGAAACATTCCATGCTATTCTCCCCTTCGTGATAACAAAATTTAGTTGGTCATTAAACAATACTTCATTCCCTCCATCTTTTTTCACATCTTCTTAAATTTGAGAAAGTTCTAGTCATAAGCTAACTTGAATTAACAATATAACACTGTGTGTTATATGCAGCTGAACCTTGACCCTGTACTCATAGAAGTAATTTGACAGATAATGTCAAAATTTGGATGGTCTCAAGAGGAAATTGTCGGAATTTGTGTGTTTTTGATAACATATGATGAATAATCTGTTCATCATTTTTCACATTGAGCCAGCAATTATGGTTAGCAATATTTTCATGCTTTGTAGGTCATATTTATGCACTATCTTTTGTTTGATTTGTACTGTAGGAATTGGAAGCGAGGTTCTGAATATTGTTATCCTGGTTAGAAAAGTAGACGTTTTTGCTTTAGTGTTGGAATTGGAAATGAGGTTGTGAATTTTATTATCCTGGTTGGCAAAGTAGACATTTTTGCTTTTCTTAGATCTCCCTTCTCTTAGTATGTAATTGGATCTTTAAAAAAGTGTATTTCCTCTTAGGTCGATGTGAATTGACTTTTGTTACTTTGTGATGTGGCTTGTCATTTTGTTCAGTGCCTTACTTGAATGAGACTGCCCTTCTGCAGGAGAGAAATACGAGACTTGAGCAGGTTGCTCATGAGAGTTTAAATTTTACTGAAGAAATATTGAGTGCTAGATCGTTTTCCAGGCAGCTAGCTGAGCAAATGACACTTGCCAAAGCTTATGTTATTATTGCCAAAGAACACAATAACCTTCATCTTGCTTGGGAGCTTAGTTCAAAGATCCGAAGTTGCCAGCTTTTGCTGTCAACAGCTGCCATGAGGGGGGAGCCTGTGACACTAGAGGAAGCAGAGCCAATAATTAAAAGCCTATCATACCTGATATTCAGAGCCGAAGATGCACATTATGACATTGCAACCACAATAATGACAATGAAATCCCATATCCAAGCCCTTGAAGAGCGTGCAAATGCCGCAACAGTTCAAAGCACAGTATTCGGGCAACTAGCTGCTGAAGCATTACCCAAAAGCCTCCATTGCCTAAATGTTAAGCTGACAGCTGATTGGCTTAAAAAGCCATCTCTGCAACGACTTGCAGATGAGAAGAGGAATTCTCCCATACTGGTGGACAACAATACCTACCATTTCTGCATATTTTCAGACAATGTGGTTGCCACCTCTGTGGTTGTCAACTCCACTGTCTCCAATGCTGACCATCCAAAACAGCTGGTCTTCCACATTGTCACAAATGGGATCAACTATGGGACAATGCAGGCGTGGTTCCAAAGTAATGATTTCAAAGGGTCCACAATAGAAGTGCAGAATGTTGAGGAATTTTCTTGGTTTAATGCTTCTTATTCTCCTATCATGAAACAGCTCCTTGATGCAGATTCGCGAGACTTTTATTTTGGTGGATATCAAGATATGAATGTTGTGCCAAAGCTGCGGAGCCCTAAGTATCTATCTTTGCTCAATCACCTTCGATTCTACATTCCAGAGATCTATCCGCAGCTGGAGAAGGTAGTTTTTCTTGATGATGATGTTGTTGTCCAGAAGGATCTGACCCCACTTTTCTCGTTGGATTTGCATGGCAATGTGAATGGAGCAGTGGAAACTTGTCTTGAAGCATTTCATCGTTATTACAAGTATCTGAATTTCTCAAACCCAATCATCAGCGCCAAGTTTGATCCACAGGCATGTGGGTGGGCCTTCGGTATGAATGTCTTTGATTTAATTGCTTGGAAGAAAGCAAATGTAACTGCACGGTATCATTACTGGCAGGAGCAGAATGCCAATGGGACACTTTGGAGGCTGGGCACTCTTCCGCCTGGCCTTCTAACGTTTTACGGTCTGACAGAGCCGCTTGATAGGAGATGGCATGTATTAGGACTGGGGTATGATCTGAACATTGACAACCGATTGATTGAGAGTGCGGCAGTGGTTCACTTTAATGGGTTCATGAAGCCGTGGCTGAAGTTGGCCATTGGCAGGTATAAGCCTCTCTGGGAGCGGTATGTAAATCAAAGCCACCCATACCTCCAAGATTGTGTCACAAGCTAGAATGTGCTGCTTCTCAATGCCGGAAAATATGGTTCCCGTTATTGTAGTCAGGAGTACAAAATTTTGAAGTAAAGTTTACCAGACAGTTATAATTTTTTCTTTTCTTTTCTGCATCATAGTTCCCTGAAAGGAAAAGAGCATTGTTTCTTATACATTTAGAAAGTTTACATGTACCAGCTGAAGAGTTGTGAGAGCTAAATTGACTTTTGCCTGAGATGGGGTTTTCTTTTTCCCCCTCTCTGCAAGCTGTAGAATTATTTGTTCCTTAGCAGGTGTTTGTAATAATCTTTCAGCCTCATTTAAGTTATATTATGCAACTGAACCAATTTTTTAGCAGTTCGTTTATTGACATAAACTGCAACATCTGGTTGTCTTTGTGGAGTTGATTATTATTATTATTATTTTTATTATTCTTTTCCTTCTACAATGACTTGAGAAAGGAAGAAATGAATTCTGTTAAATATTGTTAATTAACTAATCATTTGCCGCCACTCGTAAGTTGAAGTTGTTAGGTTTGATGAGTTTGATTCTAATTAGTTATAGTTTGCTCATCGTCTAGCTTATTCCAAATCTCTCATTTCCAGCCTTACAGAATGGGAGATTCGAAAAAATTGAGAGTTGGAACCAAGTAACATATATCATGATGAATTCTATTTATTTAGTACGTATATATGACTAAACAATCTTCAGTTCAAATAAGCTGTTGTAGAGATAATCTTTCAATGATGATTAAGAAGAGGAACAGTTTCAATTCGCATGATGAAAATATATTTTCACAATTGGTGGATAAGGCAGTGTAGCCTATGGGGTCATTGCAAGTATATTTAATTTCAGGCATTAAAATGGTATCTCTCAATCCAATAAGGAAGTTTATATAGTGCCATGGATATTCCTCCACCATATAGAAGGCTTCCAAAACCTGTAAACTTTATGTGCTGCATCCTGATGTACACTTGCCGCAACCGGAAAGATGTTCTTATTTCCAAGTGGAGGTACATGAACAAATTGAGGCCTCAGGAACTTGAACCCCTCTCGCTAGAAGAAGCGTTTGAGCTTTTCTGTCGAGGAGTTTCCGACGTTGGACCCTTTTGGGATCATGTGTTAGGCTACTGGAAAGCAAGATCGGAATTTCCCGACAAAATATTGTTCTTGAAATATGAGGAAATGATAAAGGATCCCATTGTTAATGTGACGAGATTGGCTGAGTTCCTCGGCCAACCTTACGCGGCGGAGGAAGAGAGCAAAGGGGTGGTGCACCAAATTGTAAAGCTTTGAAATTTGAGCAGTTTGGAAGTTAATAAAACCAGCAGGCCTAAGCAACAGCTTCCTCAGCATGTTTCTTTTTTTTTAGTACAATGATAGACTTTATACTAAGAGAAGGAGAGTTCAGCTATCCAAGCATAGTTTTAATAAGGGAGAGGTTGGCGATTGGAAGAACTATTTCACAGATGAGATGGGAAAGCGTCTACATCAGATCATAAGTGACAAGTTGAATGGTTCTCGTTTGACATTCGGCACTGCTTAGCTAAGCTAATTTCTAATTATTTGGCATCAAATAGCAATTAATTAATAAATGTATGTGTTTCAATTGTGCCTACGTACAAGCACTTAGTGTCAACAATATTTAATCGTTGGGTTTGATTCAACAGTTCTTAATCATCACTTAGTTTAAGCTATTGAACAAATCATACAATCAAATATATGTCGACACTGAGTGCATACTCATAAAAAATCACCTAGTCACAGTCTTACATGTGCCTCTCAACAATGCATTATATTATTAACTTTGTGTTGGAGCATTTATTAATTTACTTTCGATATGCAATAATTATGTATAATTTCAAGCTCATGCACATGGAGTAATTTCAAATTGTCTATCTGGATTTACAATACATGTATGATAAAATTGTGTGGCTTCAAAATTCGAAGTGTTACGGATATTTTAAGCCTCAATTTGATTTCTATAGTTGTTAAATCTTTATTTTTAATTTCAGTCATTCATTTTTCGTACCACTGCATGATATGATTAAAAATTACATATCAAGAGAATTAGGCAAAATATTACTTATTACTAAAAATACTAGACCTTAAAAAAAACGATACATTAAACAGGGAAGAACCACTACAACGTTATTAATACCAATAGCAGCTACCTGAATGGCTAATCTTTCTAACGGCTTGAGTTATTTGCTGGTTATAAAGGTAGATAAGCAGATTGATTCTAAAGTTCCAAACCAAAAGTGCCCAACTTTTCTTGTGTGATTTTGTCAAGACGCTCGAGCATCTCAGGTGTCAGATGGTTCTTGGAGTCTCCGACCTCACCTCGCCGGAAGAAGGCACTGTTGTCCACCTGTAACTGATTTTGCCCGGTTTGGGACGCCACATGGACTTGGAATGTCCCACTTTTGTTCACCTCCAAGTTACTCAAATTCTCAAAACTGCACAACTCTATCACTTCTTGCAGCACACCTTCCCTCTCTTCCTCCGACGAAAAAGGATGCCCCATGAACTCAGCCAGCTTCTTCACATGGTGCATTGTGTCCCTCTTCATGTCCTCGTACTTCACAAACAGCACCTCATCAGGGCGTTCCGTGCTCGCTTTCCAGTACCCTAAAACATGATCCCAGAAGGGGCCATTAGTTGAAACCCCATTGCAAAACAACTCAAATGCCTCTTCCATAGAAATACTTGGTGACTCTTGAAGTTTTTGGTTATTTTTTGACGCAAACTGCTCCGAAAATTTCCAGAAGGAAACAAAAACATCTTTAGGGTTCCTAGCAATGTACACAATCCGACCGGCCAAAACGGATTTTGGTAACGATGAGTATGGAATGTGGGTTGAAAGCAACCTAGGTGATGCTGCAGGAAGAGAGTCTAGGTACGTGATCGGATTGGATCCAATCATGTGCTCTTGGTCGCGTACTTCTAAGAAGGGTACGCAGTTATGTGGATTTTTGATGAGCAGCGGATGAGATGATGATGACAGTGATCCATGGTGCTTTCGGTTTACGATAGCAATCATGAGGGCCTTCATCCAGGTTGTGCCCGACTTTGGAGACGATGCCAAGAGAAAGTCAGTCTCTCTAGCCTTGAAGCATTGTTGTGCCCAAATGGTACCTAAAAGCCAAACGCTGGAATACCAAAACCCTTGGTATTTGTAGAAACACCCACCAGCTCCCCAGCTTTTTTCTTTCGGGAGAGTTGATAGCATTTCTTCTAAATTTTCGGGGACAATCATCTTGTTTTCCTCTACTTCTCGATCACCTGGAGCCATTTGTACTATATTCCGAGGAAAGGAGAAGAAGAGGTGAAGAACTGGTAAGAACTACGTGGCTATATATAATTAAGGTAGGGTGCGTAGTAACTGCATGGCTATAATTTCTAATGTACCGTTTTCAACTGCAACAGACATGTATTGATAGCTATCACAGTCGTTTGTTTGTGTCTTCAATTGGTATTTTAATTTTGATTTGAGTTTATGTTGTAATATATTGATTTGCAAACGTTTCAATATAGTCATTAATTAACATTTCCTTGAGTCAGTTTCTTAACAATTGATTTTGAACTGAACAGTCTGAACTGTGATTGAGGTATAATTAGTGCGAATTTATTTCTTCGCACATAACTTCGAATGCAAGTATGAATGATTTAATCACTTTAAGTTATAAGCTCGGTTTCGGATATTTTGAATATCAATTGATAAAAAGACGCATTAGCTCAACAACCATTACTCAATAAGTTTTGTAGCTCAAATTGGCTGGAAAAAGAAAAATAAACAAATAAATCTCAATCGGGTGAAAATTTAGGGGCAAAACATGTTACCCTTACTCGTCAAGTTTGTAAAACTTCAAACAGGATGCCCCAAACTTTTGCTCAGTAATTTTGTCAAGATGCTCGAGCATCTCAGACGTTAGGTGATTCTGTGAATCTCCAGTCTTCCCTCCTCTAAAGAAGACATCGTGGCCGAATTTTTTATCGGTTTTCCGCCCCACTGATACGTCCCACTTTTGTTCACCTCCAAACTGCTCCAGTTCTCAAAACTGCAAAACTTTATTAATTCTTGTAGAAAAAGGTATGTAGGCTAAAAAATATATTTGTTATTGATACGTGAATGTGGAAAAAATGGAAGAGAATGCTTTTTTTCTCATTATCTTTCTCTACAAGATTACAAGGATATATATACATGATACAAGTGTGTAGGTAGGACAAGGTAGCCGTCCTAGTGTGTAGGTAGGACAAGGTAGGACGGCTGTAGGACGACTTGACGGCTGTAGGACGGCTAGTGTGTAGGTAGGACAAAGTAGGACGGCTGTAGGACGGCTTGACGGCTGTAGGACGGCTAGTGTGTAGGTAGGACAAGGTAGGACGGCTGTAGGACGGCTTGACCGCTATAGGACGGCTAGTAGTTCCAATAGTGAATAATATTATATACAATTACACAAGGACTCCAACCATATTCCTTATTTGTCTAACACTCCCCCTCAAGTTGGAGAGTGGATGTCAAGAACTCCCAACTTGCGTAACATACCCGAAAACTTTTCTTTCCCAAGAGGTTTGGTAAACAAGTCTGCCAACTGTTGTGCCGTACCCACATGCTTGGTCTCTATTGTGCCATCTACAATCTTATCTCGTATAAAGTGACAATCCATCTCAATGTGACGAGTTCGTTCATGAAAAACAGGATTGGCAGCTATATGTAACGCTGGTTGATTATCACAAAATAAAATGGAAGGACCATCCAAAGGAATGTTCAAATCCTTCAACAAAAAACGAAGCCAAACTATCTCGCAACAAGCACCTGCCATGGCCTTATATTCCGCCTCTGCTGAAGAGAGCGAAACGGTTTTCTGTCGTTTCGTCCGCCAAGAAATCAAAGAACCGCCCAAGAATACACAATACCCAGTAGTTGAACGGCGAGTGATAGGGCAACCTGCCCAATCAGAATCACAAAATGCAGTTAACTTGGTCTGGTTGTCAAAACGAAATAATAAACCTTGACCTGGAGTAGCCTTCAAATAACGAACAATACGAAGCGCAGCATTCATATGAGATATCCTTGGCTCGTGCATAAAACGGCTTAGAACATGCACAGAATAGGTGATATCCGGCCGAGTGATAGTGAGATATATTAACCGACCTACTAATCGTCAATACTTTTCAGGATCCTTGAGAAGTTCTCCTTTATCAGATAATTTTGTGTCATCCATAGGAAAAGCAATGGGTCGTGCTCCCAAAAAACCATAGTCCTTGAGAATCTCTAATGCATACTTGCGTTGAGAAATATAAATCCCTTGTTTGGAACGAGAAACCTCAATACCCAAAAAATATTTTAAATCACCAAGGTCTTTTATCCGAAAATGATCACGGAGAAAAGACTTCAGAGAATTAATGGCACTAGCATCATTGCCTGTAATCACAATATCATCCACATAAATGAGCAAAGCTGTGAAAGAAATACCAGACTTTTTAGTGAACAATGAATAGTCAGCTTTGGATTGTTGAAAACCGGCAGAAATGATGGCACTAGTGAATTTGGCAAACCATTGGCGAGAAGCCTGCTTAAGACCATAAAGTGACTTATGAAGGCGACACACAAGATTCTCCCCCTGTCGCCGAAGACCAGGAGGAGGAGACATATAGATTTCTTCATGTAAGTCACCATGTAAGAAAGCATTATTAACATCAAGCTGATGAAGAGACCAAGACTGACTAGCAGCAAGAGCAAGAAGACAACGCACCGTAATCATCTTAGCAGTAGGAGAAAAAATGTCATGATAATCAATATCTTCAGCCTGAGTGAAGCCTTTAGCAACCAAACGAGCTTTGTAGCGGTCAATAGAGCCGTCGGAATTGTGCTTGAGTTTGTACACCCACTTACAACCAATGGGAATTTTGCCAGGGGGCAAGGAAGTTAAAGTCCAAGTACCATTAGCATGTAAAGCTTGAAGCTCCTCAGTCATAGCACGTTGCCAATTGGGGTCAGTGGCAGTCTCGGCAAAGGAGGAAGGCTCCACAGTCCGACTGACAGAGTTAATGTAAGAAAAATGCCTGGGAGAGTAACGGTGATAAGAGAGAAAATTACAAAGTGGATATCGCGTACCTTATGTAGAACCGGGTTGCGAAGTCGAAGATGGGTGGGATGGCAGAATCACCTGTGAGCAAACGTAGTCTTTTAAATAGGATGGAGGTTTATGGCCACGGGAAGAGGTGCGGGGATGGGGAGGATTGGTAGGTAGTGGGGGGGGGGGGGGTAGGGATGTCCGTGGGTAAAGGGGCATGGGGAGGAACGGGTAATGGGGCAGCAAGGGAATCTGTGGGAGGCGTGGAAGGGGAGGAAGGTGGAGGAGGGTGAGGCGTCGGGGCAGGAAGGGGTGGGTTATATGTAAAGTCCAGAGGGGGTGGGATGGGTAGGGTAGGCGAAGAGGATGGGATAGGAGGGTGAGAAACGGCATAAGGGAAAGTAGTTTCGTGAAAAATGACGTCTCGACTAGTGAAAATGCGGTGATTGTCAAGATCGTAAAGGGTATAGGCCTTTTGTCCATGAGGATAACCGAGAAAAATGCAACGATGAGCCTGAGGGGAAAATTTGGTGGTGGGAGTGACAGAGGTGGCATATGCCAGACAACCAAAGACGCGGAAGTGGTCATAAGATGGGGTTTTCGAAAAGAGAACCTCAAATGGGGATTTATGATGGAGAAGACGGGTAGGGAGACGATTGATGAGATAAGTAGCGGTAAGAACACATTCCCCCCAAAACTTGATAGGAAGATGGGATTGAAAACGAAGGGCGCGAGCGGTTTCAAGAAGATGACGATGTTTTCTTTCAACAACGCCATTTTGTTGGGGGGTATAAACACAAGAAGTTTGTAAAAGCACCCCATGATCAGAGAAAAAACTACGAAGAGATAAAAATTCACCACCATTGTTAGTACGAATGCATTGGATGGTAGTGCGGAAATGGGTAGTGACATAAGCAAAAAAATCCTTAATTAATTGTTGAGTGTCGGATTTATGTTTCATGAGGAAGACCCACGTAAAGCGAGAAAAATCATCCACAATGGTTAAGAAATAATGAGCACCAGAAAGAGAAGATTGACGATTCGGGCCCCAAATATCACAATGAATTAAAGCAAAAGGGAAAGTTGATGAAATTGAACTCAAAAGAAAAGGTTGACGAGTTTGTTTTGCCAACGGACAAACATCACAAATATGACTAGAGTCAAAAGTACAATTAAGAGAGCTAGATGCTAAAGCTTGCAAACGAGTGGAGGAGGGGTGACCAAGACGCCTATGCCAGAGGGAGGAGGGGATGGTAATGATGTTGCAGAGAGGTTGACGGGTGGGGAGAGAAGAGGTAAGGGCCACAAGGTAATACAGATCGCCACGTCGTTTACCCACACCAATCATCGCCTTCGAAACCAAGTCCTGCAAAACACACCAAGAAGGAAAGAAGGTTATGGAACACGATAATCCATCTGTAAGTTTACCAACCGATAAAAGGTCCACTCGGAAATTAGGGACACATAAAACATCCTTCAAAGTAACTGATGAATTTAAAGGAAGAGTGCCGGTAAAAGTAATGGGAGCGGAAGCACCACTAGGCAAAGAAACAGGCGGCAAATGTGAAGGAGAACGATTAACCAAACATGAGGCGGAAGAAGTAATATGATCCGTAGCACCACTGTCAAGAATCCATTGACCATGACGAGAGGTGACAGGTAACAAACCTTGGGCAAAATCAGTAGTGAGCACGGCATTGGCCTAAGGAAGGGTGGTGGTGTCACGTAGAGCAGCTAGAACACGGGAGTGCTGCTCGGCAGAGAAGTCAGGCATGGCAAGCTGCAAGTCATGCAAAGTGGGCTGGGCCCCGTGCACTTGGTGGGTCGCTGGAGTAGAAAAGGAGGCGGGGGCTTGGGTGCCTTGCACGTGATGGGCCTGGGTGAAATTATGGGGCCGGGAAGCAGAAAACCGTGGCTGCCGGGGAGGACTGGAAGGTGCATGGCTGCGGGAAGAACTGGAAGCAGTGGCACGGCGCGGTGGTCGCCACGGTTGGCCATGGAGGGGATGGCCAACGGGATAGCCATGAAGTTTATGGCAGGTGTCTCGGGTATGATAATCAAAATTGCAGTAGGTGCATTGGAGGGGAGGACGAGCAGAGGAGGGACGGGACAGGCCACGAACAGCCATGGCAGCAGGTTGATCGACAGAGCGGAGGACGCCCAAGGAGCGTTGTTTTTCAGCTTGAGACACCGAGGAACAGGCCTGACGAACAGTGGGAAGGGGATTCATTAAAAGAATCTGGTCACGAACAACAGCAAAGGATTCGTTGAGGCCCATTAAAAATTGCATGAGTTGTTGACGGTCATGCTTGGCGTTGCAAGAGCACGTGCAGCCATCATTATAAGAAGCAAGCTCATCCCAGAAAGCTTTCAGGCGAGTAAAATAGGCGGAGATAGAAGAAGAACCTTGAGAAATTGTAGCAAGTTCCCAGTTGAGTTGGAAGATGCGTGGAGCATTACTCTGAGAGAAGCGTTCGCGAAGATCATCCCATACAGCTTGGACAGAGGTGGAAAAAAGCACAGATTCTTGAAGGTCAGGTTCCAAGGAATGCAGAAGCCAAGAGAGAATCATGTCATTGCAACGACACCAAGCCGCGTGAGCATCAGGGTCGTCGGAATGATGAAGGGAAAAAACACCATCGGAAGAAGAAGAGTCAGCCATGGGAACGGCAGAGAAAGCTGCCGAAAAAAAAAAATTAGGGCTAGGGTTATAAACCTGCTCTGTATACCATGTAGAAAAAGGTATGTAGGTTAAAAAATATATTTGTTATTGATACGTGAATGTGGGAAAAATGGAATATAATGCTTTTTTTCTCATTATCTTTCTCTACAAGATTACAAGGATATATATACATGATACAAGTGTGTAGGTAGGACAAGGTAGCCGTCCTAGTGTGTAGGTAGGACAATGTAGGACGGCTGTAGGACGACTTGACGGCTGTAGGACGGCTAGTGTATAGGTAGGACAAGGTAGGACGGCTGTAGGACGGCTTGACGGCTGTAGGACGGCTAGTGTGTAGGTAGGACAAGGTAGGACGGCTGTAGGACGGCTAGTAGTTCCAATAGTGAATAATATTATATACAATTACACAATGACTCCAACCATATTCCTTATTTGTCTAACAATTCTTGCACAACTTCTTTACCATCCTTGCTTCCCAGTACCCCAACACATGATCCCAAAACAGGCCTGCAAGTGCAAACCCTTTGCAAAACAACTCACATCCTTCTTCCAGAGAGAGAGAGAGAGGAAGTAGTCCATTTCTATTCGACCTTACTTTTTCGGAAAATGCCCAAAAAGAAATGAGAACATCTTTCGGGTTCCTTGCAACGCACACAATCCGTGTATGTGAATCCAAAGTAGAGTTTGGCAACAATGTGTGGGAATGTGGGTTGCAAGCAATCTAGGTGAGGCCATAGAGTCGAGATACTCAATTGGATTGTCTCGGTGAACAAGCAAATCCATGTAGGGCACACTATCATGAGGGTTCTCTGTGAGCAATGGATGTGACGATAATCGTAGTCTTTCCGGTTTTTATGGCAATCATGAGGGCCTTCACCCATGTTGTACCAGACTTCGGAAAGGTGGCAAGGAAAATGTCAGTGTCCCTAGCCTAAAATTCGGTTGTGTCCAAGTCACACCTTCAAGAAAAACCTGGACGTACCAGAAGTTTTCGTATTGGTAGTAGTGCTCAGCTCCCCAGCCTTTATCTTTAGGGAGGGCTGAGAAAATTTCTTGGAAACTTTTTTCCCGATCTTGTTCTTGATCAGCATAAAGAGCGACAGAAGCCATAATGTAATAAAAAGAGACGAAACAATTAATCGTGTAACTAATTAATCTAATTCACAAGAATCACAACATTTTATAGGGTGAATTTGCTAGTCATACCTCATGAAAGTAGACAATGTCGCAATTTAAGTAAGTCATCATGGTGTGGAAAACGACAATTCTACAATTTCAGTAAATCAAGCAATGAGACCACATAGTCAATGCTTATCCGCTCAATTTTCCACAGAATTAGGCCATATTGCAATCTCCGAATACCCATCCTCAGTAGCGCAAGCTCGAAACATACCGGTGGTATTGAAAGGCATCGTGACTTCCCCTGCGGCAGACACAGCAACCAGCCCTACATTGCCTTTTGGAGTACCCTCCTCCACGACATAAGCTGCTGCTTCTTTGAGAGAAACACCTTTAAACTCCATAAGAGCTGCCACATCCCTTGCAACTGTGCCACGAATAATTGCTTCGCCTTTGCCAGTAGCAGAAACTGCGCAGAGATTGTTGGCATATGTCCCTGCACCAATGATGGGTGTGTCCCCAATCCGGCCAACCATCTTGTTGACTAATCCGCCAGTGGAAGTTGCAGAAGCTAAATTTCCGAAACTATCAACAGCCACACATCCAACAGTCCCAAGTTTACTATCACCATCAGCGTCTGGTGTTTCTTTCTTCTCATCTTTGTGAAGGGGTTGTGTATAATCAATCTGTACACATTTGTGACAAAAATTACCAGATGTTACAAACAAGAATAGCTATAGGTTAACGTGTGAGGTAATTCAACTTCCCAACTCACGAGCCTAGGATTTAGACAAAAAATACAAGTGATACTGGTGGGGTGGGGGTAGACACTACTAGGCCCTTGCTACTATCTGAGGGTTCAACGATCTTAACTACTTGAGCTACAAGCCTTTTGCAACTTTATTGGTTATTGGGTATTTCAACTTCAATTACATTACTCTCCTACTCCTACATAAATTCGAAGTTGCAATTGGGGTTAATCCCTGTATTAGTATCTCTCTTATCACGTGACACGTTTACACACAAGAATCTCCTAGATAAGGGGCCAAGAGACAAATACCTGAACTCTCTTGGCTTCTTTTGCCTGACTGAGCCTTTCTACGTTCTCCGGGGTAATGAAATGACTCGAATCTAGTGTCTCAACACCCTGAGAAATTCAACAAAACCCCATTAATTTACAGGAATACATAGCATCAAGGGAAAGCAATCAAATGGTGAAATTGTTGGTGAGAGAGAGAGAGTAACCTGTTCCCTAGCAAAGGCTTCTGCTCCATCAAAAGCAAGATAAATGTGAGGAGTTTTCTCCATGACCAATCGTGCTAAAGAGATGGGATTGACAACAGTGGTGAGTCCAGAAACAGCTCCACATCTCTTTTTGTCATCCATGATGCAAGCTTCCATTTCAACTGTGCCATCTGTGGTTAGCACTGACCCCTTTCCAGCATTGAAGTGTGGAATGTTCTCTAGCTCCCTAACCTACACCACCAACACAATGATCACACACAATCCTCATCCATAAAATTACGGCCAAACAATTATTGTAGTCGGTGTAGTTTGAGTGAAGTTCCACTTCGGCCTCTGTAGTTTCAATTGTCATGATTTAACCCTTTCAGTTTACTAGATGTTGCAATTCAAGGACAATAACCTTAATTCCAACATTTTTTTCTCCACCAATATTAGCACAAGAGAGATGTGTGAGGATACGTTGAGCTATTGGTGGTGATTTCGTCAACAGAAAAAGGACGTAATTAATTTAGTTGTCTTCTGTGCAACAAGTATCTAACTACAAAGTTAAATCACGAAAAACTGAAAATACAAGGATCAAAGTAGAACTTTGACAATTAGTTAACTGAAAGAGTTAAATCGCGAAAACTGAAACTACGGAGATCAAAGCAGAAGTTCGAATTGCAACTAGTCAACTACACGAGTTAAATCGGAAAAACTGAAACTACGGAGATCAAAGTAGAACTTCAAATTGCAACTAGCTAACTACACGAGTTAAATCGCGAAAACTGAAACTACGGATTTCAAAGAAAAACTTTGAATTGCAACTAGTTTACTACACGATTTAAATCGCGAAAACTGAAACTACGGAGATCAAAGTACAACTTGGAATCGCAAATAGGTAAACTACACGAGTTAAATCGACCAAAGTGGAACATCATCCAAACATAATTTGGTCCAAGATTAAATGAGATGATCCAGTAATAATAAAAGGGAAGATGGTTATAAGTGAAAGTGATTTACTTTATGCCGAACAAATGAAAAAGTTTGATGATTTGAAGAGGAGTTGGGAGTATCATTACTTTACCACAAGCTCAACGACGTCCAAAGGTGGGGTGTTGGCTTTGAGAGCTACGACGCCGATGTGGAGGCTGTGGCGGAGGCCGGCCTCGCGAGGCAGGCGGCGCTCAGGTGGAAGAGAGAGCGGGATGTCACCTGCGCCGCCGTGAAGTGCTATTGCCCACCCCATCTCTCTCTCTCTCTCTCTCTCTCTCTCTTCAGATTTGAGATACTCAAGTGAAGTGAGTCGTGTTTTGTCCTGTGCCTAGGTAGTTGGAGCACCTCAGTTGTTTGGTGGCTGAGAGCGACATTATTTCTCTTGTGGGTCCAATGACCTCAGCTTCTCCAATGAAACGTCTCGTTCATTATGATAGTATTATTTTGGGTAGCGACCAAAGCACAACCAAAACCGGCCTATTAGCTCAGCTGGTTAGAGCGTCGTGCTAATAACGCGAAGGTCGCAGGTTCGAGACCTGCATGGGCCATTTTCTTGTTTTAGAATAATTTTTTGCTGTAATGCTGAGCACTTTCATAGTTTCTACGTGTTTTTAACCAAAGTGGAGAATCAAATTATTGTTATGAAATACCCAATGTTGTCATGAAGGATCCATCATTGGGCTACACAGATTAATTAAAGTATTAAGTATTAAGGTTAGAAGATGCGACTACCAATGAATAGTTTTATATGGTCTTCCTCCGCCTGAAGAAATCATTGCCGAATTTTGTATCGGTTTCGGCTCCATATGATACACCCCACTTTTGTTTACCTCCAAACTACTCAAGTTCTCAAAACTGCAAAACTTTGTTATTTCTTGCAAAGCCCCCTTCTTTCTCTTCTTCAGAAGAAAATGGATATCCTATGAACTCCGCCAAGGATCAGGATCCTCTCCTGATCTTTGTATGGGGATCCTCATGACCAATAAGTGTGGGCCGTCGAATGAAAATCCAACGGTTACAAATAGGCGGATCTCTTTAAAGTTATAATAATTATAACCGTTGGATGAAAAATCAACGGTCCACACTTGTTGATCATGAGGATCCCATACAAAGATCAGGAGAGGATCTTGATCCCTCCGCCAACCTCTTTAAATGGCCTTCTGTGTGAGCTTTCAAATCCTCAAACTTTAAACGTAGCACCTTATTAGGGTTTTCCAAGCTCGCTTCCCAGCACCCCTAGTACATGATCCCAAAACGGGCCTGCAAGTGCAACTCCTTTGCAAAACAACTCAAATCCTTCTACAGAGAGAGAGAGAGAGAGATGAGGTAGTCCATTTATATTCGACCTTACTTTTTCGGAAAATGCCCCAAAAATAAATGAGAACATCTTTCGGGTTCCTTGCAACGCGTGCAATCCGTGTATGTGGAGAAATTTTTAATTGTGACAAGAACACAAGTGGTACACCACGTGTTTTAATAGAAATAATGAAAATTTTTATTTTTTAAGTTATTAAATTTTTAGCACACATATCACACTATTTGTTTAGTGACACGTGATGTACCATCTCATGTACCGGTCACACTTTCAGCAACGATGTGTGTGGGATGTGGGTTGCAAGCAATCTAGGTGAGGCCAGAGTCGAGATACTCAATTGGTTTGTAATGGTGAACAAGCAACTCTATGTAGGGCACAATATCGTGAGGGCTTTTTGTGAGCTATGGATGTGACGAATAATCGTAGTCTTTCTAGTTTTCGTATTGGTAGTAATACTCAGCTCCCAGCCTTTGTCTTTAGGGAGGGTTAAGATAATTTCTTCGAAAGTTTTTTTCCCGATCTTGTTCTTTATCAGCACAAAATCGTGTAATTAATTAACCTTATTCACAAGAATCACAACATTTTATTAGGTGAATTTGCTAGTTATGCCTCATGAAGTAGACAATGTTGCAATTTAAGTAAGTCATCATGTTGTGGAAAATAATAATTCTGCAATTCAAGCAATGAAACCACATAATCTGTTAGTGTTTGAGTTACTTTTGAGCTAAATTTCTCTACGTATTTGTAATCAATTCAACAATTAATTGAAATGGATTCAAAGATTGAATGTCAGAGATGATCTTTTGAGAGAGAAGGAGTACGTTGCTCTTCAAATCTACGTTGGACTCAATCCATAAAACTTGACTACAAACCAGCTATATATCTATTGCCAACCCATCAAAGCATCGTGACTATGATCACGTACAACTCACATGGTTTCATTTAACATATAACAAACTGGACACATATCAAGTTATACACCATTGAGATGTTATAATCTTGACCCTTTATTACAAATATATAAACTTAGCTAAGAACAACACTTAGACATTTCAAGCTTCTTCTTCTTTCATATTGCAACAACCTTGAATGCTTGATCTAGCTGCCATGCTTATGCTCCAACATAATCAATGATTATCCCCTCCATTTTCCACAGAATTAGGCCATATTCCAATCTCCGAATACCCATCCTCAGTAGCGCAAGCTCGAAACATACCGGTGGTATTGAAAGGCATCGTGACTTCCCCTGCAGCAGACACAGCAATCAGCCCTACATTGCCTTTTGGAGTACTCTCCTCCACGACATAAGCTGCTGCTTCTTTGAGAGAAACACCTTTGAACTCCATAAGAGCTGCCACATCCCTTGCAACCGTGCCACGAATAATTGCTTCACCTTTGCCCGTAGCAGAAACTGCGCAGAGATTGTTGGCATATGTCCCTGCACCAATGATGGGCGTGTCCCCAATCCGGCCAACCATCTTGTTGACAAATCCGCCAGTAGAAGTTGCAGAAGCTAAATTTCCGAAACTATCAACGGCCACGCATCCAACAGTCCCAAGTTTACTATCACCATCAGCGTCTGGTGTTTCTTCCTTCTTATCTTTGTGAAGGGGTTGTGTATAATCAATCTATATACATCAAAAAGTTACAAGACGTTATAAACAAGAATAGCCATAGGTTATTGTAACTCTAATGTGTGAGGTAATTCAACTTCCCAAGTCACAAACCTAAGATTTATACAAAAAAAATACAAGTGCTATTGGTGGGGTGGGGGGAAAGCAATCACAGGTGCTCGGATGCAAGGGTAAACACTACAAGGCCCTTGCTACTATCCGAGGGGTTAACGATCTTAAATACTTGAGCTACAAGCCTTTTGCAACTCTATTGGTTATTGGGTAATTCAATTCCAATTACATTACTCTCCTACTCCTAGATAAAGAGAAATTTGAAGTTGCAACCATGGTTATATTCCCGTATCAGTATCTCTCTTATCACGTGACACGTTTACACACAAGAATCTCCTAGGTAAGGGGCCAAGAGACAAATACCTGAACTCTCTTGGCTTCTTTTGCTTTATTGAGCCTTTCTACGTTATCCGGGGTAATGAAATGACTCGAATCTAGAGTCTCAACACCCTGAGAATTCAACAAAACCCCATTAATTTACAGGAAAATATAGCATCAAAGGAGAGCAATCAAATGGTGAAATTGTTAGAGAGAGAGAGAGAGAGAGAGACCTGTTCCCTAGCAAAGGCTTCTGCTCCATCAAAAGCAAGATAAATGTGAGGAGTTTTCTCCATGACCAATCTTGCTAAAGAGATGGGATTGACGACAGTGGTGAGTCCAGAAACAGCTCCACATCTCTTTTTGTCATCCATGATGCAAGCTTCCATTTCAACTGTGCCATCTGTGGTTAGCACTGACCCCTTTCCAGCATTGAAGTGTGGATTGTTCTCTAGCTCCCTAACCTACACCAACACAATGATCACACACAATCCTCATCCATAAAATTACGGCAAAACGATTATTGTAGTCAGTGTAGTTTGAGTGAGGTTCCACTTCGGCTCTGTAGTTTCAATTGTCGTGATTTAACCCCTTCAGATCTTGTTTGGCAGCTTGGATTGTATTGATTATTTCAGTCGAATAGGATAAATAGTCGTCGGATAGTACTGACTAGGTGTTTGGTGTAATATCGAACTAATGACCGTATTATTTAGACTGTATTTAGTACAATACCGGATAAAAAGAATTCAAATATTATTATTTTAAGTAAAAATTCCTGATTAATGGAAAAAAAAAATTGTTTTTACAGTTATTAATATTCACAACCACAAAATGGTACAAATTAAAAATTAAAAAAAAAACGAAGTCTTTTGTCATTTTGAACTTCGACATTGCATTTCCTATTTGTCCTCAATTTAAATCAAATTATTTAAAGAAAAATAATAAAAAATTAAAATCATCTCTTCCCCAGATCTCTCTGCCGCACCGCCCCCTCCAAACACCCTCACTCCCTTACCAGTTCTTGGCCCAAAGAGGCTTGAAATGCACCGTAGCTTCCCCCTATACATCGGAAACTAATTCAAAAACCAGAAATTGAAGGAACTAAATTACTATCAGAAAACAAAAAAGGGGAAACAGGCAAAATCGTAAAACCCAGATGAAATCCATTCGAATTTTCAAATCTTATCATCGTTTCACAGTCAAGGTTCTAAAACCCAGATGAATCTTTCCAAAATTGTGCGGTGGTGGTGCGATGAAAATATGTTTGTTGGTTCACCTATTTTGGCACAACTTGTGTCCGATGGTTTGATGGATGATATTCGAGAAGTGCTTGAGAAGAGCGAACCTTCATGGAGAGCCGCCGATTATGTGGATTCTGAGGGCCGATCTTTGATTCACTTGCAAGGTTCTAAAAAATGAATATGCACTATTAGGATGGGGGCTGGCGCTTAGCGTCTAAACGCTGTCGGCCTACTTGAATTTAGATAAATTTTTTATATATTTTATGAATTAATTAAATTTATTATATCAAATGTAAATAATTATTGACTAATATGTTATTTCTTATAGAAGAACATAGTAAATTTTTTATGTACATATATAATATGCTTGCCTGGGAAAAAATACAAAATATTATCTAAATAATTTATAATTTATATAACATTTATATATATATATATATAAAATATATTCCAAACTTTTAAAAATATAAAACCCACATAGTGAGTGGTTTTCCTTATTAAAAGTTAAAACCATGAGCTGTCCACCTCACCTCTTTCACATCACTCATCCACCTTGGGTGGTTTTCATAATTAAAATCATCAGAGTCCATGACTTTCATAATTGAAATGTTTAAGTCTCCTGTCCACCTTGGGTGGGTTTCACATCACCCGTCCACCTTGGGTGGTTTTCATAATTGAAATGTTCAAGTCTCTCTCTCTCTCTCTTCACACTCTCTATTCCCTCATATTCACAGACGAGCTGCAAAAATTCACTGGTAGCACTCTCTTTTCCCTCATCTTCACAAAGACGTGCTGTAGAAATTCGCCGGAGCTCTGCTGCTACGATTAGAAGTTGTAGATCCATTGCGAAAATTGCAGGAAGTTTGGGATTTGCAGCGAGATTCAAACCGCCTAGACTGCCACCTCAGGCGCCTAATGAACGCCTAGGTACGCCTAGGTGGCCGCCTAAGTCATCCCCGCCTAACTGAACGTTTTGGTCTAAATCGGGTTGGAGCTCTGCCACCCAGCACCTAGGCCCTGCCTAGGCCGATTTTTAGAACACCGTTCACTTGGCGGTTGCTTAAGGTAGGCCTGACCTTGTCCAGCTACTTCTTGAATTTGAGCCTGATGTGGAGACGGGGAGAACAGAGTCGGCTAAAGAAGACGAAGATATGGTGAGAGAAGGAGACGAAGAGAAGGGCGACGGCGAGGGAATTCGAGACAGAGCCCAGTTCATGCGAGAGAGAAGGAAAGGGACCCGACTAATAATACGCCCATTTTGGACGGTTTTGGTAAGAAGGTGTATGCAGTGTAAAATAAGCGGATCAGATTAAATTAGTCTGATCCAATTTAATACGAGAGAACGCCAAACACTCGACTCCATATTAATAGTCCTATCCGATGTACCAAACAAAGCCTTAGTTTACTAGTTGTTGCAATTCAAGGATAATAACCTTAATTCCAACTTTTTTTTTTTCCACCAAAATTAGCACAAGAGAGATATATGTGAGGATAAGTTGAGCTATTTGGTGGTGATTTCATCAACGAAAAAAATGACTTAATTAATTTAGTTGTTTTCTGTGCAACAAGTATCTAACTACAAAGTTAAAAAACGAAAAACTGAAACTACAAGGATCAAAGTAGAACTTTGAAATGCAATTAGTTAACTACAAGAGTTAAATCGCGAAAAATAGAAGTACAATTTTGAATTGCAACTAGTTTACTACACGAGTTAAATCGCGAAAACTGAAACCATGGATTTCTAGGAAGAACTTCGAATTGCAACTAGTTAACTAAACGAGTTAAATCGTGAAAACTGAAACTACGGAGATCAAAGTAGAACTTCGAAATCCAACTAGTTAACTACACGAGTTAAATCATGAAAACTGAAACTACAGAAATCAAAGTAGAATTCAAATTGCAACAAGTTAACTACACGAGTTAAATCACGAAAATTGAAACTACGGAGATCAAAGAAGAACTTCGAATCGCAAATAGTAAACTACACGAGTTAAATTGATCAAAGTGGAACATCATCCAAACATAATTTGGTCCAAGATTAAATGAGATGATCCAGTAATAATAAAAGGGAAGAGGGTTATAAGTGAAAGTGATTTACTTTATGCCGAATAAATGAAAAAGTTTGATAATTTGAAGAGGAGTTGGGAGTATCATTAATTTACCACAAGCTCAACGACGTCCAAAGGTGAGGTGTTGGCTTTGAGAGCTTCGACGCCGATGTGGAGGCAGTGGCGGATGCCGGCCTCGCAAGGCAGGCGGCGCTCAGGTGAAAGAGAGAGCGGGATGCCACCCGCGCCACCGTGAAGTGCTATTGCCCACCCCATCTCTCTCTCTCTCTCTCTCTTCAGATTTGAGTTACTCAAGTGAAGTGAGTCAGTGTGTTTTGTCCTGTGCCTAGATAGTTGGAGCACTTCAGTTGTATGGTGCATGAGGGTGATATATAATACTCAAAATTTCTCCTGTGGGTCCAATGATCTAGAAAGAGATTCTCTCCGGATCTCTTCCACCAAGACTATCGGATCAAGTAATCGGAGCTCTTGAATTTTAATCCAACAGTTAAAAAACAGGAGCTCCTTTTAAAAGTTATAATAACTTTAACCGTTTGATCAAATTTTAAGGGCCCAGATCACTTGATCCGATAACCTTAATGAAAGAGATCCGAAGAGGATCTCTTTCCCAATGACCTCAGCTTTTCCAATATTTGACTCTAACGTCTCGTTCATTATGATAGTATTATATTCGGTAGAGATAAATGAAAATCCAAAACTGCCCTATTAGCTTAGCTGGCTAGAGCGTCGTGCTAATAACTTGAAGTTTGCAAGTTCGAGACCTGCATGGGCCATAAGGTTTTTTTTTTTTAAATAATTTTTTGCTTTAATGCCGGACACCTTTATGATCTCTACGTGTTTCTAACCAAAGTGGAGAATCAAGCTATTGTCATGAAAGACCCAATGTTGTCATGAAACATCCAACATTGGGCGACAAAGATTAATTAAAGCATCAGGTGTTGAGGTTGAAAGATGTGATTATGAGACGGATACTTAGAGCAAAAGGGGTACTGAAAGACTTAGAAAGATTTGAAAATATAGGAGCATTTTCTTTTTTTTTAGAATAATTTTTTGCTTTAATGTCTGGCACTTTTATGGTTTCTACATGTTTCTAACCAAAGTGGAGAATCAAACTATTGTCATGAAAGATCCATCATTAGGCTACAAAGATTTATTAAAGCATTAGATGTTGAGGCCAGAAGATACAACTATAAGACGAAAGCTTAAGGCAAAAGGGATACTAGAGGACCCAAGAAGACTTGAAAAGATATATTTTTTTTAAAAGATATGGACATTTTTTTTTTTTTAGAATAATTTTTTGCTTTAATGTCGGACAATTTTATGATTTCTACGTGTTTCTAACCAATGTGGAGAATCAAACTTTTGTCATGAAAGACCCAATGTTGTCATGAAAGATCCATCATTGGGCTACATAGATTAATTAAAGCATCAGGTGTTGAAGCTGGAAGATGCGACTATGAGAAGGAAACTTAAGGTAAAAGGGTTACTAGAAGACTTAAAAATATATGAGCATTTTTTTTTTACAATAATTTTTTACTTTAATGTCGGGCACTTTTATTGTCATGAAAGATCCATCATTAGGCTACAAAGATTAATTAAAGCATTAGGTGTTGAGGCTAGAAGATACAACTATGAGACGGAAGCTTAAGGCAAAAGGGATACTGGAAAACCAGGTAGACTTGAAAATATATTTTAAAAAATGATATGGACATTTTCTTTTCTTTTTTAGAATAATTTTTTGCTTTAATGCCAGACACTTATATGGTTTCTACAATGGTTTCTACATGTTTCTAACCAAAGTAGAGAATATTCAAACTATTGTCATGAAAGATCCATCATTGGGCTACAAAGATTAATTAAAGCATCATGGTTGAGGCCAGAAGATGCGACTTTGAGACGGAGGCTTAAGGCAAAAAGGGTACTGGAAGACCTAGGAACACTTGGAAAGAGATTTTAAGAAAAGATATGGAGTACTTGGAGCTAACAGAAGACATTGTTCAAAACCAAGCACAATGACATTTTAGAATATATACAGCCAACACCAGTGGCGAAGCCAAGAATTGATGGGGGGAGGGGCGAAGTTAAAAGATTGCAAGGTTCAAAAGAATAGCAACAACCAAATCCTTTTATATAGTAATGTCTTCCATAATTTATCAATACAAACAAATTACAATTGTTGCCGGCGAGATTTCATATCACGAAAACGTTGCAAAATAGCATCATTATCAATAAAAGCAAATACATCTCTCTCAACCATTGATTTCCCATTATGTTATGAAATGGTGTTTTAACAATCTTCATAGCAAAAAAAGTTCTCTCCACCGAAGCAGTTACAACTGGTAACACCAAAGCCAATATAAGAAGCTTATACACTAACGTATAGCTTGCACACCTTTCAATCTTCACCAACTCCTTTGCAAGATCACCAATTCCTCTCAATGATGAAAACTCACTATGCATCTTCATATCGTGAATGTAATTGTCAAGTTGAATTGGAAGATTCATGAGGTTCATACGATCAAAATCTGGAGGAAAAAGTTAGGCTAGACAAACTATTTTTGCTTTGTCAAAAGATGCAAAATTATTCACCAGACTCAAACATGTTATACAAAGAAGCAACTCGGTGTTTACCCCATTGAAGCAATCATTCAATTCCTTTAATTGCATATCAAGAACTTGAAAATAAAGGTCCACACGATAGTAATGGAAGTTTTTGTTTCCTAATTTGCTCATTATGCTTGGAAATAAGTTGCATAAGCTCCAAATAATGACCCATATTACTTGATTTCAAGGATTCATCGTGACCACGAAAAGGCAAACATTGTCCCAACAACCATCTTGTGCACTCAAGTGAGGCACTCAATAAAGTATGATAATTCATCGGTTTGCTGAATCACAAATGTTTGAATGTGTTGTTTTTGTGTCATCAAATCTCTAGCTTGTTGTACATCTTTATTATGAAGGTTTCCAACACCTCCCTCATAGACTCGAAGATTTTTGTGTCCTTTCTTCCAATTCGTAAACCCTTTCTCAGTGAAGACATCACTTCCAATGCTACCCATTTGATCGAAATTACATTTGAAAAGATAGCAATAACGGCAAAATGCAGCATCTTTGGATATACTATACTCCAACCACTTAAACTTATCAAACCAATTGGTGATAAAAACATCGTTTGTTGCTAATTTTCTTGGCATGATGTGGTCTCTAGGTTGACAAGGATCATTTTGGAGATAGTGTATACAAATTGCTTCATGATAATTAGGTGAATAATCAAGCATTCGACGTCTATGTCCAAAGTCTGCAGGAAGATTAGCCAATATTTCATCCAACTCAATGGCCTCACTTTGTTTTGAACTACTCGAAATATTTGAAGGAGGACTTCTTGGAATATTTGAAGGAGGAGGAAGACTACTTGGAATATCTGAAGGAGAAGGACTACCTGAAATGTTTGAAAGAAGATTTAAGCATTTTTTCTTATAATATCATTCCATTACATAACTGTAAAATGGAAAGAAAATAAAATTCTTAGACTATTAATCCTAGAATAGACTACACTAATATGCATAATACCAACCAACAATTCATTTAATCAATACCATAAGCATACAAATTATTCAATAAATAAAAACCAAATTCAACTAATCATATGAATAATTGTATACATTATGTGATAATTCAATTAATTAATCCATAATCAAGAATTCAAATTTTAATTTTCACCCTAAATAATAATAATTTCATATCAATAATCAATAACCAATAACCATGTTAGTGCATTACCATATGATTCTATACCAATTAAACAAAATTCTTATTAAATAATTAATTAGGGTTAGGGATTATAAATTTAGGAATTAAAAAATTTATCTTTGAAGGCTGGAAGTCGGCGGCTCAGCAACTGGAGAGTGGCTGGTGGTGGCAGCAAAAAGCCAACGGGAATTAGCCAAACAGGATTAAAAAAAAATTATGTTCCATTGCTGCTGGGATTTTGAGGGGTAGCTTTGCTCTCTGTCTCTGATTGGCAAATGAGAAAGGTTGAAAAAGAAAGGGGGACAAGCGGGACTGAGAGGGAATGGGTCGGTCACCCTATACCAGGACCAAAACAATGTCATTTTGGTCTAGACGTTAAAAAAAAAAAAAAAAAAAAAAAGGCAATATGCTGCTGTGCGCAGCAAAACCAGATCACCCGACAGACAAGGAGGGGTTGAACCAGCGCTCTAGTCATGTTTTCCAGTGAGGGGAGGCCAACACCACTTAGTAGAATATAAGATTTGGTTGTTATTGTTGCATCAGGTATTGAGGCCACTCAAGCTATCGTACGGAGATATCAAATCAACCTTCTAAGGGACCATTACATGCCTCTTAAATTATCAGAGAAAGAAAACCACATAGCATAAAACTTTTCAAGTTACTCTCATTGCTTTTACCTTCAAGTACAAGAATTAGCATTTTCATCAGCAGATTTACATTATGTTGGAATCCCACATCGGTGGTGGTAAAGAAAAGTAATGACTTCAAAATAGAATTACCTCATTCTAACTAATACTGAGACATTTTGTGGTAAAACCTCATACTTGACGGATTTGGCAAGTGGTAAAGTTGAAGACAATATCGGTGTCGTTAAAGTGGGGGCCCCATGGGCCCATTATTCTAAAAATTTCAACATGGTATCAGAGTCCACGGTTACGGGCCTGTGCAAGCCAAAGACTTGTCACCAGGTAGTGTAGGCTTGGAAACAAGTTTGGACTCTTAACATAGAGCTAGCCCCTAAGTTCTTAAGAATCACTTCTTGAAAAAAGATTGAAAACAAGTTTGGACTCCAATCGAGCCGACCTCTGAGTTTCAATTGCCAAGGCGATGTGTGGATCTCCATGTGTGAACCACTAAATGGGATTATACGTGAGGGTGCGTGTTAGTAGTCCTAAATTGGTGGGGGTAAAGAAAAGCAATGACTTTAAATAGGATTACCCCACTCTAACTAATACTAAGGCATTTTGTAGTAAAACTCAACACCTGATAGATTGACAGGTGGTAATGTTGGGATCAGTATCGGTGTCGTTGAAGTGGGGCTCCCGGGTTCGTCGGTTTAAAAAATTTCAACACATTATCCGTAATAGCATTGGTTGTCATCGACGTCTGTAAAGAAACAACATCAGGGTTTAACAAATTAACTAATATCGGAGTTGATCACAACGATACAGCGTATACAACACCAACAGTTTTGTCTTTGTAGATTCGCTATGGGCTTGCAAGTTCCTGAAGAATCAGCAACCTAACAATGCAATGCAAACAAGTGGTTGGTTTAAATGTCGTCTTCTGAACGCCCCAAAATTAAACTGGTTGAGCTTCCGCACAAACTAGGGTGTGCTGACACAAAATTATATAACGAAAAACCAGATTTATCTTCTAAACCCCACGCCCACGGCGGTCTTGTTTCTTTCACTCATTGAATCAAGTTAATTGCGTGCTGCTGAGAACAAACTGGTAGAGGCACGAGATGCAAGTCACCAAATAGAAAAGAACCACGAACGTCGAACTTTGTATAACGAGATAAATGATAATTTATAATTCTAATTGAAAATCTTTACCCTGCAATGATCGCAAGGATTTGCTCAAGTTGCAGTAGAAAACACAGAAGAAGGATCACTTCCATAAACTGTAAAGAAACAAACAGCTATTTAGCTTTCCAACTTCAAGGGAAAGATTTACCAATTGAGCAAAGCCGGCGAAGTCTCCTTTATATTAGAGCAGTATGACAACCAACCCCAATGCTCCCTTATACACATGTGCCGGCCTCATCAATGGCTACAAACCTAATGTTATCCAATATGAAATCAATCTCTGTATTATAATTGGACCAAATGCAATCTCCTTCCCCCTTAGGTACTAACTGGATGCAGGCACCAGTTAGTGTTGCCGGTCACAGGAGGCACCGGCATGTTTAGGGTTGCTTGAGGATTTTGCATTGCAAGAACTCATTCCACTAACCAAATGGACGCGATTATTGGATACAATGTCACCGACATTAGATCATAAAGTAATAATTTTCGGTGTGACGATTACACCGGTATTAATGTACAACGATTTGTTTTTGGCATTAATTAGGGGATGGTTTGTCAACCATAATTATTAAATAATTTTCTTTTCTTTTTCGTCTTACAATGTTTGGGAACATAACTGACTAAGTACTAATTATGGATTAACACTGTAACTCCCTTGGTCATTCATCCCCTTTTTTCAAATTCAAACAGTTCATTTTTTTTTTGCCTCTCTCTCTCTCTCTCTCTCTCTCTCTCAAATTAAGACAATCAAAATGTGCAGCACACCATGGACAATGACAAGGCTAGTGAGATGGCGCGTGAAGGACTGGGCTTCGTGTTTCTTGGCTTGCAGGTTTCTTTTGGGTAAGCGCAACAAATCGATAAAACATTCAAATAAAACACCATAGTATATATTTGTTCTTAATTATCGTAGTTTATTTCGGATCGGGTAATCTTTTTTGTTTTTCTTCTTCTTTTTTGTTTATATAGATGATGAACCAGCTGATAAATGTTGCCCAGCAACGCCGCAATTGCCAATACGAAACATGGCTTTCGATATGCTGGGCGAAAGCAGAAGCAATGAGACGGGGAAAAAGATGTCTAGGCAAAAAAACTGTGACAGAGAGCGACGACTAAGACACAGTACTAAACAAGCTAAAGACACAAGCTGCAGGCCACGTTTTTCAGATGAGGAGTATATAGTGTTCTGCTTTAAAGAAGATGGAGCATTTGAAGTTGTGAAAAACGGCAAACTGGAAGCATCGAACACCATAGATTGCGCGTCAAGAAACTCACCGAGGCCTGCCAATCGGAAGGTTAGTGAATTGCGACGATGTTGATTACTTAGAGAAAGGGAAAAATTTATTTGGTTAATTTCTTTTGCTTTTGTTTGATCAAAACAGCTTAGCCATGGGCAGGATACAAGAGCAGTTGAAAGGCGTAGCAATGAGAAGAGGTTGACTGAAAAGGCTTATGATATTTACCCTACAAATGATGGAAAATGTATCATCTTTGACCAAAAGGTAGAGAACCTTCTTTATGTTTCTAAGTTTATATTTTTTATTTCAAAAGAATACGCACTTTAAATTTTCTTTATAAACCACGATTTATCTGTACGAAAGAATGATGATTTTCATGTAAAAGTAAGTGTATTCATAAAAAAAAAAAATCTACCTTATATCTTCTTTTCTTGAAATATAATTATTTTACAAAGCACGAGGAAGAAGAGGAAAACCGCTCGGGTCAAGAACCACCTCCGAGTAGAGATGTCAAGGATCGTTCGACCGTGTCAGTTGAATCAAGCGATTCAAGTCAATCGGATGGCAGCACAGGCTCTTTCGCGTTTCCGGTGTACGTTACAATATACATTGGTTTTATGGTATTGTTAGACAATTAACAAACACATGATTAATTCCTGATAATGTTTGGTAAAATCATGACTGCAGGTTGGGCAGGGAATGGAATGGCAGTCCTGTGCAAATGCCGATATCAGAAGCTATGGACTTGAGAAAGCACAAGGCTCGCTGCATCGGCTTTCGGTTTCAGTGCCGTCGATTCTGAAATTCGATGTGTTTTTCTCAAATATTTTCCCCATGAGGTTAGATTAAGCATAAGCAAATTGTTGTGTCTAGTGTAAGTAATAAAACAATCGCGATTAACGGTTCATATGTTCGTGCTTGTAACTTTGGAGAAATCACGTACGATTATCAACAAAAATCCCGTACTCTATCATGCCGAAAACTAGATAAACAAGAAAAGAAAGACTCGCATTTCACATAACCCAGTAAAAGGGAAGAAATACAGTAAAAATATACAATAATTATGCGAACTACCGCAACGCAAAGCCGGTCAATACCTAGTGGCACTAAACCTAAATCATGAGAACTAATGACTGAAGATGTAACCTGGCACTGGCTGCAGCGGCAATAGATTCTTCGTCTTGCTTTTCTTTTGCGGCAGCAACAGCAGTGATATATGCTCTTCTAGCTTCTTCCATTTTCCTCATCTGTGCCTCATCCAAATCATCCTGTTCATTAAAGCAAGGATCTTTAAGTTGCAAGGAATGCAGCAGCCAACAAGCAGATACCCATGAACAAACAATTCTCAACACACGCGATTGGTTAACCACACATAATAAGCAAGCAATGAACAACAGATCTCTGAAATTTTAACGGTAATGATACAGGAATCTGATTGCAACAATAGAGGTGTCTCAGCAATTAGTTAGCATACAATAAAACAAATGACAGGAGGACGAACCAAAAAAATATATATAAAGGAAATTAACCACCATATCCAGGGGATGGGGTTGTGAACTTACAATGTGAGGAAGATGATCCGTAGTACGCGTTGAAATATCATAATCTTCACCGTATACAATGGGATCAGCTTTCATCAAGCTTTCAAATAGTAGCATAAATGACGAAATCTGTCCTTGCAAGGAGTCTTGCTCTCCTTGGAGCTTCTCCACTTTCCTGTTGGATGTCATCACTTCCCAATGTAACTTTTCCAAAGCAGCTTGCTTGTCTGCAAGCTTAATCTGTGAAAAACGACAGATGTTAATAACGTTAAATTTGCAAAATAGAGTTGCTGTGTGCATCAGAGAGAGAGAGAGAGAGAGAGAGAGAGAGAGAGTCCTTGATGATATTCCATTTTAGGCAAGCGGCTATGTTGTGGTCTAGATTAAACCAAAAGTAAAAAAGAAGATCCGAACATTAAATAAAATAATAAAGAACACAGATATCTGTTTCTGCATTACCAAGGGTAATTTTTCAAACAACAGTGCCAATTTGGAAAAGATCAAAAACAATGTCACAACTAACATTACAACCACATTCACTAGTCCAAAATTCCAGAATGAATAATGTCATTAGGTATCACAAGGAAATAAAATATGATCAGAAATCTCTAATCACTGCCAAGGCACCAAGTGATGCATACATACCTTTGCATCAGAGAGTTGTTGCTTAGCAGCCTTTATTACCGAGTCTTTTTCTGCAACTTGGTGCTTATATTCATTCAGTTTTGTTTGAGCAGTGTTCATTTGGTCCTTTGAGATCTCTGATGACTTTAAAAGTTCCTCCTTCTCTGATACTTTCTTTTGCAAATCATCAACTTGTACCCTTAATGTATCCAACTCTTCTTTTTCCGCTGCCGAAGCCCTTGAGGAAAAACTTGAAAAGCTGTCAGCATCAAGGCAGCCAGCATTTTTGCTTGAGTCCTTGTCTCCATGATCCCTCTTCTGTCTTGCAGGAATGGATTGAGCCGCATTCCTCCCTTTTTGTTCAACCTTTAGAAGATAAGAAGAGAGGAACATTAGGAACCCATTTGATGAATCATGCAAAGAAATTAAATTGATCGAAGTTAGATATACAGAAGACTTTAAAACCCTTAAAAACAGAATTGACATATGAAGCAAGAGCTTGAGAATCAAAATGAAATCCCAAGGATGATTGGTAACGGAAATTTGGCATCAATAATCCACCGAATTGAACGAACTTCTTAGATTTTGCATTAACTCAAATATTTATTGCATTACTTGTTTCCTCATAAAAGGAATATGCTTAACAAACAAACCATAAAGGAAAACAAATTATTTGAGGCCTTGAAACACTCTCAGATATCAAACTCTTCGAACGACAACAAACAGTAGTTCAACATCACCAGTTGGACATGCCATCAATCTAAAAGTAAAATGGAGATAGTTTTTACTACATTTGGATTTACTGCAACTAGAACACTAATAAAAAACACACAACTTTCCATGATAGATCACAGTTGATTGTTCCTAAATTAATAAAGCTATCAAAACAATCTGAGTAGCAAGTATTACTTGTGTGCATAGTAAATGTAACAAATTAAAGAATGCCATTGTTCATCATAGAGATTAACAATCACAACTTCAGAAAACCGAAACATCATACTTTTTTGGATAAGGATTCTCTTGAAGGTGTCTTGGTGTAGGCCACCGAACCCCGCCGCGTAAACGAACTGCTAGCCTTCCGATCCTGAAAGATTTTTTCAATGAAATTGTGAGTAAAAAAGCAAAAAAATCACTAATTTCAAAATCCCCATTCATTTTTTTCAAAACCCAATCAGAAGCAAGTAAAGCAGCAATCTTTAAACTACCCAATTCATCCCAACCCAGCCAGTAACGGCTACTTTCCCAAATTTCTCGGCCGGCAACCAAACACACTGGAAAGAAAATCCCAGAAAGCCCTGAAATTCACATTCCAAGAGAGAGAAAGAGAGGAATTACGATGAGAGGACTGGACGAGAGGGACGATCTCGACGAGGTCTTTGAAGAGGACGCGATCGAGATTGCTGTTGGTGGCGGTGGAGGAGTGAGCGAGTGAGGACTGAGTCGACCGGTGGGTCGGGGACGAGTTGGCATCCCCGGAAAGCCAGGATTTTGGGTCCCCGAAATTACTGGAATTCTCTTGCGATTCCAGGAAGTGCTGCGGGTCGTACATCCTCCTCCTTCTTCCCCAATTTGTTTTCTTTCTGAAAATAAAATTCAAAAATCAAAAGTTGCAGAGAGAGAGAGAGAGAGTGAGTGGCACAGACGCGGACCGTGTTTTCAAAAACTGTTTCCTTTTCGGACAATCGATTTCTCAATGAAATTGGAAACTTGGCCAAAATAACAATTTTTCAAATCTCTGAATTGGAGATTTTTTGCTATGCGGTCGATTTTGTTTCGGTTTCGTCAATTTTTTTTTATAAGGAACACTAATAAAATTAGTTTAAAAATTTTGAATTTTAACGAAAATGATAAAATAAATAGTTAAGCGAATAGTATTAGAATTAATTTTTTGAAGGCAGATTCTCTGCCCTCTCACTTCCCGTGCCCTCTTGTTTGTGTGATCACGGTTAAGTCATGTCAACATTTTATATTACTATTCATTTTTGTTTTATTATCTCTAAAAAAAATATTACAAAATGTTGACGTGGCTTAACCGTGACCACGCAAAACAGGAGGGCACGGAAGTGGGAGGGCAGAGAATCTGCCTCCTAATTTTTTAGCGTAAAAATATGGTTTTTTTTGTTAAAGTAAACAGTATTTTTTTTGTTAAAGTGAACAATATCGAGAGTTTTTCGTTAAAGTTCTCTTTTTTATAATTATGTTGTTGATACTTAATTGATTTTAGGAAACTTTAACGAAAAGCTTCCGGTACTGTTCACTTTAACGAAAAATCATATTTTTACACTAAAAAGTCAATCTTGATACTATTCACTTTACCCTTTATTTTGTCCTTATCGTTAAAATTCAAAGTTTTTAAGCCATTTTCATTAATTTTCTTTTAATTTTAACCATTTGAGACCGTTTAAACTTTCAAAAACGCTTTTTAAATTTTGTCATAAAAATTAGACTTTTTGTTCAACGTTCGGTTATTGTTGTTGTTTATTCCAAAGATTCTTGTTTTCCAAGACTGAGTTTATGTTTTTGTAATGTTGGCTCCCAATGCTAGAGAGACTAAACTAAATTTTGTTAACTAAATACCATGAAAATTGATGATTAAATTATTACTTAAATATCAATTAAAATACTTATTTCTTATTGATAACCTGTCATTTATTTTACAAATTTAATCTAGCTAGATTTCTCTTCTCTCAAATTCTGGTCAACTCCAAAACTTGCTCTTGAAGGACTTGCGCTTGTAATGGTACTAAACGGCAGATAATTGTACTTCTTTAGCAGGACAGGTGGGACTATCCCCAAAAAACAAAAGGAAAAGGAAAAGAAAAAGAAAAGGGAGATGTCACCAAGGAAACATAATCTACAAGATTTCGTGTTGGCTAAAGTGACAGTTCAGTTACTATAAATACCTTTATTCATTCCTTCATAAGTATTCAATGTTTTAACTGTCCTTTTAATTGTCATGTTCCTTCTGCAACGGTTAGCTTCCTCTAAAAATGCTTTATATATGACTCAACAGCCTCAATATCTTGGCTTTTGGATACATTTTTCGTTTATACGAGCGATACTTGGGGTGAGAAAATCAAACACAAAACCTCAAGCACAGATGTAAATAATTGTAACGGCTTTAGTTGCAAGCTCTTCTCTCGATTCTAAATACTTGCATTATGATTGAGTATATATGTAGATGCAGAGCAGCACTGAAGAATCTGCTTCGGATTGTTCTGGAGTGATAAGAGAGGTAGGTAGTTTTGTTTATCAATTATAATCTAATTAAATGATTTTTTATTGAGTAATTCAGGTTGTGAAAAGATTTAGTAATTGAGAATTCTATTTTCCAAATATGTGTTGTTTTCGTATTTCGGTGGTTTTTCTTTCAAACTAATTGACCTAATTCACGTATATACAATGAGATTATAGAGTGTCATTTTCATTCTCTCCTCCTCAAAGGTTTTACTTCCACATCTCATCTATATAATAATGACAGAGGCAAGTGTAGAGGGATACAAACATATACCATCGAAGAATCAAGTTTTATAGAATCCACCCAAAAGGTTATTTGATTAATATTGAATTGATGATTACAATAGCAGCCACAAGGCTTAAATAGACTTAGACCGACCATTCGGAAGCTCGGGGGAGTCTAAGGAAATGTACAAAGAAGTCTTAGGAAATGTAAAGAAATTA